GAACAGGATACAGGGCCCAGGAAAAACACACACCAAGGCAAAGTCTGCAGGTCTGGCCATCCCTTAAATACACCAGTATAAGCAGTTTCAGGTGTTTGGCTGGCTGCAAGGTTGAGTCTCTGATTGCTGGGAGCACCCGCTGGCCAACCCTGGTACTGCAGCCCATAAGGCAGGTGAGTCCCACCATTGCTGGCCAGTCCATTCCTGACACTAATAGAGCTGGTACAGCTGGTACAGCTGAGAGAAGTATAGTTGTTATGTGTAAGTACAGGTATGCTATAAGTCAGTGTAGAGGACCAAGACACAGTATGTATATATATGGGTACTTTAAAAAAAGTAGGAAGGCAAGTTGGAGGGATTGCAAACCTGGAATTGAACCTGTATCTCCACTTTCAAAAAAATGGAGGCCATGCACTGATCATCTTTCAATAAAACTTTATTCATCCAAAACTAAAAAATTTTGGCTCCAGTTACACTTTGCATTCTTTAGCACTGCCCTCTCAGGGGCCATTGAGTAATTTTTGGGGTACCTTTCCTGACCTCACTTTGGAAGCCCAACCCCTGCTGACACCACCTTAAACCTCCGAACAGTAGAATCCTCTGGCTGCAACCATAAAATTGACTCACACACAGTTTAGAATGAACTAATATTTTTTGTTGCATTGAGATCAAATATAAGCACAGTAATGCAACAGGAAAATGTGTGCATAAGATAGCAGCTATCACTTTTAGTAACTTCAAGTAATGGTCACAGCACAATCTCAAATCAGTTCTAGATGTCCTGCAATTCAGAATTTAAATGATAGCCCCAGTCCTGAGAAGTGTCTTCCCCAGTGAGTCAGAAAGAACTATCAAACCAGGAAGCTAACTCACTTTGGGCTCTCGAGTGGACAATGTCCCCGTAACTGCAGTGTCTTATCTTCTGCACACTCGATAGGGCCCTAGTTAGTGCACATAAGGATTCAAATCTTCATTGAGGCAAAGGTAGAAGTTCTATAATAGAGGGTGAACACAAATAAAGGGAGCTGCCCCTTTAAATGAAATTGAATTTGAATGGTACCCTTTAACACAAACAGGGTGAGATGTCAAATTTGGCAGAAATTAAAAATTGGCAGAAACACACTTCTGTAGGAATTAGTTATTCCTTAGACCACAGTGGCAAACTGCAGCAATGAAAGTGATCCTTGGCGAATTGGGCAGACTGTAATGTTAGCAATAATACAGCTTGACCTGCGGACGGCAATTATTGCAATAGACCCTTGTGATTGGGTATGCTGGAAATGTAATAGTAGGCCTTAAAACGTTTAACTTGAGAAACAATGGTAGTTAAACTGAGTAGAAAGTAACTGGATTTGGTAATGTCATGTGCAACTTAGATGACTTGAGTATGGAACTCTCTCAGGTGGCGGATGGTCTTTCTGTAGATGAGGGCCCCCGTTTCCTCATAGTTGCTCCTTCAGAGATCACTCAGACACCATTCACTCCGGCCCGCATGCTTTAGGGCTGTCCGCCAGACTTGTCAGTAGTGTCAGTGATCAACAATTCCTCCTCTCCCCTCCAATTTCTGCAGTCTGGCCAGCTTGGACCTCCAGCATCCCGCATTGTCTTGTTCTTACACCTGCTCTCCAGTTATCTCCACTTCCTGTGTTCACGTTTTCGTGCTTCTGAATTTATTTGCCTCCTCCCATTCACCAGCTCCTCTGGGAAATGTAGTTTGTTAACTCCCTGTCAAACAGTGAAGTCCTGCAATTAGCCTACAAATCCCACAAAGCTTTTCAACAGAGTCTCTAAAACTGGGCTGCAGGACATTGCCTTCTTGTGTCCATTTAACAACCTGCAAACAGTATTATGGTAGGGTGTTACAATTCTTTATGACAAAAAGGTGTCATTTGTGACATCATAACTTCAGAAACACTGTTCTGGATCAAAAAGAGAGGTACCTGGGTGATTTTTTTCAGGTAAACAAAAGTTTTCCAGGTGAGTGAGATTTGGCAAGGGTAGATGGGGCTTGCCAGGTGCCCATTGCTCCGACAGAGCATATTTCATATAGCCCTTGTATTTTTTTTTAATCTGACCTACTGTTGAGTTCTGTCATTAAAATTGCAAGTGTTCCTCCATTTAAAGGGCTTCTCCCACAGGCTAACAATGAAATAACATTTCCTTCAGTCTCCATGTTTATCTTGAGCTCTTCCAGCACTGTTAAATACTCCCATGTGGCTAAAATATCTAAATATCTCTTGCAGTATGTATAAGAGTTTTAGTCATAATTGTGTTGGCAGGGGAAAATCTTAATCATTTATCTTTGAAATACCTCCAAATGTTAATTCAAGATGGAGATTAACTATCCCGCACAGCCACACTATTTGAATGTCTATTTAAAAGTCTGCTATCCATCTTTAGCTTTAAGTTTCCAGCTTGCTTATGTTGGCATATGATTCCGGTTCCCAAACCTTTCCTTTTTTTTCCTTTAATATATTTTGCTTCATTTCTTAAATGTTGTACAACTGGCAGTTCCTTGTTAATTCCACATTGGACATTAGAAATTCCAGGATCCATCAAATGTGCTTTCCATTCAAGGACTGATAACAAAAGGATAAAGAAGAACCCTATGGTAGTGAATAGAGATGAGCGAATTATTCAAAAATTCGATTCGACCGATTCGGCGAATTCGTGAAAAAAATTGCGATTCGAGTCGAATATATTCGCTACGAATTTAACTTATAAAAGGGTGTTTCTAGGCTTCAGAGAGCCTTTATATTAGTGCAGAACACTGTACCTTTAATTTAAATGCCCTTGGAGTCTGCTGGGAAGAGAAAATAATACTGACAGTCAGTATGACATGCAGATGAGTGCCGTCGATCTTAGAATCACCGCACACTTCAACTCATTAGGGCAGTCACGGGGCCAAAACCAGAGTGTGGAGCCACACAGTGTGGCGGAGGAGGCAGCAGCAATGGGAGGCCATACAGCACCCTATGACAAAAATGGAAACCACCAGCAGTGTGAGGAGACCTGAAAGTGGCACATGGCAGAGTGTGGCGATGGAGACAGCAGCAATGGGAGGCCGTACAGGGACCCATGACACACTCTGGACCTGGCAGCAGCATAAGGAGGCGGTACAGGGGCCCATGACAGATTACGGGCCTGGCAGCAGCATGAGGAGTTGGTACGGGGGCCCATGGCAGATTACGGGCCTGGCAGCAGCAATGGGAGGCCGTACAGGGACCCATGACACACTATGGACCTGGCAGCAGCATGAGGAGGCGGTACAGGGGCCCATGACAGATTACGGGCCTGGCAGCAGCATGAGGAGTCGGTACGGGGGCCCATGACACACTCTGGACCTGACAGCAGCATGAGGAGGCGGTACAGGGGCGCATGACAGATTACGAGCCTGGCAGCAGCAATCTTGGACAGGAGGACGTTCAGCTTCTGCACCGTTGGGTGCGTGCTCGCAAACTGTTGTCTCTTGGAAACGGATTCCAAGAAAGACTGCTGACGGAATCCATGAAGAGGAGTAGTAGCAGGAGAAGGAGCATCTTTGAACGAGGCGGAATATGCCAACAAGCGACAACAGGGGCCCATGACAGATTACGGGCCTGGGCAGCAGCATGAGGAGTCGGTACGGGGGCCCATGGCAGATTACGGGCCTGGCAGCAGCAATGGGTGGCCCCGTAATCTGCAAGCACCCTATGACAAAAAAATGGAACACACCAGCAGTGTGTGAGGAGACCTGAAAGTGGCACATGGCAGAGTGTGGCGATGGAGACAGCAGCAAAGGGAGGCCGTACAGGGACCCATGAGAGACTCTGGACCTGGCAGCAGCATGAGGAGGCGGTACAGGGGGCCCATGGCAGATTAGGGGCCTGGCAGCAGCAATGGGAGGCCCGTAATCTGCCAGCACCCTATGACAAAAAATGGAACACACCAGCAGTGTGAGGAGACCTGAAAGTGGCACATGGCATGAGACACTGTGGACCTGGCAGCAGCATGAGGAGGCGGGGTACAGGGGGCCCATGGCAGATTAGGGGCCTGGCAGCAGCTATGGAGGCCCGTAATCTGCCAGCACCCTATGACAAAAAATGGAACACACCAGCAGTGTGAGGAGTCCTGAAAGTGGCACATGGCATGAGACACTGTGGACCTGGCAGCAGCATGAGGAGGCGGTACAGGGGCCCATGGCAGATTAGGGGCCTGGCAGCAGCTATGGGTATGGGCCTGTAATCTGCCAGCACCCTATGACAAAAAATGGAAAATGGAAGCACACCAGCAGGTGTGTGAGGAGACCTGAAAGTGGCACATGGCAGAGTGTCGCGATGGAGACAGCAGCAATGGGAGGCCGTACAGGGACCCATGAGACACTGTGACCTGGCAGCAGCATGAGGAGGCGGTACAGGGGCCCATGGCAGATTACGGGCCTGGCAGCAGCAATGGGAGGCCCGTGATCTGCCAGCACCCTATGACAAAAAATGGAACACACCAGCAGTGTGAGGAGACCTGAAAGTGGCACATGGCATGAGACACTGTGGACCTGGCAGCAGCATGAGGAGGCGGTACAGGGGCCCATGGCAGATTAGGGGCCTGGCAGCAGCTATGGGAGGCCCGTAATCTGCCAGCACCCTATGACAAAAAATGGAACACACCAGCAGTGTGAGGAGACCTGAAAGTGGCACATGGCATGAGACACTGTGGACCTGGCAGCAGCATGAGGAGGCGGTACAGGGGCTCATGGCAGATTAGGGGCCTGGCAGCAGCAATGGGAGGCCCGTAATCTGCCAGCACCCTATGACAAAAAATGGAACACACCAGCAGTGTGTGAGGAGACCTGAAAGTGGCACATGGCAGAGTGTGGCGATGGAGACAGCAGCAATGGGAGGCCGTACAGGGACCCATGAGAGACTCTGGACCTGGCAGCAGCATGAGGAGGCGGTAAAGGGGCCCATGGCAGATTACGGGCCTGGCAGCAGCAATGGGAGGCCCGTAATCTGCCAGCACGCTATGACAAAAAATGGAACACAACAGCAGTGTGAGGAGACCTGAAAGTGGCACATGGCATGAGACACTGTGGACTGGCAGCAGCATGAGGAGGCGGTACAGGGGCCCATGGCAGATTAGGGGCCTGGCAGCAGCTATGGGAGGCCCGTAATCTGCCAGCACCCTATGACAAAAAATGGAACACACCACAGCAGTGTGTGAGGAGACCTGAAAGTGGCACATGGCAGAGTGTGGCGATGGAGACAGCAGCAATGGGAGGCCGTACAGGGACCCATGAGAGACTCTGGACCTGGCAGCAGCATGAGGAGGCGGTACTGGGGCCCATGGCAGATTAGGGGCCTGGCAGCAGCTATGGGAGGCCCGTAATATGCCAGCACCCTATGACAAAAAATGGAACACACCCAGCAGTGTGAGGAGAACCTGAAAGTGGCACATGGCATGAGACACTGTGGACCTGGCAGCAGCATGAGGAGGCGGTACAGGGGCCCATGGCAGATTAGGGGCCTGGCAGCAGCTATGGGAGGCCCGTAATCTGCCAGCACCCTATGACAAAATGGAACCCTGGGCTGGGGCAGGCAGAACCGCCGTATCTTTATCACGGTTTTCCAGGCCACCAAATGGCGATGCTGCATATGCTGCCGCAACGCTGTAGTCCCAACATGGGCCCCTGGCCACGCTTGACTTTCTGCCACATAGTCGACATACGGCTATGTTTACTTCCTCGGGCGGCTTGACAAAAAATTGCCACACCGCCGAGTAGGAAACTTTGCCCCCGATACTCCTCACTGGCTGACTGCTGCTTCCTCCGTGCACACCGGCACCACTACTGGCCGTGGTGGTAGGCTGCAGTGGAGCTGGTGCTGTACTCCGTGGCCGTTTGCCTCCACTGACACTGCTGCGACCCTGCTGCCTCCTGGGCAACCCACCGACTGTTTTGCTCGCTGCCAAGCTGCCACCCTCTTCTCCTGATGATGCGGAAGCAATAGCCTGATGACGACGAGGCTGCCAAGTGCGATCAGCCTCATCATCATCAATTAGGGTCTCCGCCTCACTACTAGCCCCCTCGGCTGCGTGTGGGTCAGGAGACAGACCTGTCTCTAGACCGGCTACCGAGCTACTCTCCTCGCCACTACTTCTTCGCCTGGCTGCTGAAGAGGCGGATGTCTCCCCCCGTTCCTGACCGCCCTCTGTTAGCTCTTCCTCACTGTACAGTGGGGCTGAGCCCACAGCATACGATACTTCGCTTGGTGAGGGAACACCAAAGGACAGGGGCAGGTCGAGGACACGTGATTTCAGTGGGCTTGCTCCCGGGCCATGCCAACTAACGGTTGTGTCTGACGTACCCACCGACCGTTGGCTGTAGGTGTCAGAGGTGACCTGGGATGAGGAAGACGACCGAGCCAACCAATCGATGACGGCAGGGTTGTCGGTGGAGACACGACCGCTGGATGACACCGGGAGCACTGGCCTCTGGCTGCGACTAGTGCTGCCCTCGACCCCTTCCTCTGCTGCCACGTCTGCTCGCTCCTAAAACATTGCCTCCTCTGCCACTCCTATGCATGTTGTCTGACATACTCTTTAATTAAACGATTCTGTGTTCCTGAGTAACAATTCTGTGTCTGTCCCTGAGTAACAATTCTGTGTCCCTGAGTAACAATTCTGTGTCCCTGAGTAACAATTCTGTGTCCCTCAGTAACAATTCTGTGTCCCTCAGTAACAATTCTGTGTCCCTGAGTAACAATTCTGTGTCCCTCAGTAACAATTCGTGTCCCTCAGTAACAATTCTGTGTCCCTCAGTAACAATTCTGTGTCTGTCCCTGAGTAACAATTCTGTGTCTGTTGCTGAGTAACAATTCTGTGTCCCTCAGTAACAATTCTGTGTCCCTCAGTAACAATTCTGTGTCCCTGAGTAATAATTCTGTGTCCCTCAGTAACAATTCTGTGTCCCTCAGTAACAATTCTGTGTCTGTCCCTGAGTAACAATTCTGTGTCCCTCAGTAACAATTCTGTGTCCCTCAGTAACAATTCTGTGTCCCTCAGTAACAATTCTGTGTCCCTGAGTAACAATTCTGTGTCCCTGAGTAACAATTCTGTGTCCCTCTGTAACAATTCTGTGTCTGTCCCTGAGTAACAATTCTGTGTCTGTCCCTGAGTAACAATTCTGTGTCTGTCGCTGAGTAACAAATTATGTGTCCCTGAGTAACAATTCTGTGTCCCTCAGTAACAATTCTGTGTCCCTCAGTAACAATTCTGTGTCTGTCCCCTGAGTAAACAATTCTGTGTCTGTCCCTGAGTAACAATTCTGTGTCCCTCAGTAACAATTCTGTGTCCCTCAGTAACAATTCTGTGTCCCTGAGTAACAATTCTGTGTCCCTCAGTAACAATTCTGTGTCCCTCAGTAACAATTCTGTGTCCCTCAGTAACAATTCTGTGTCTGTCCCTGAGTAACAATTCTGTGTCTGTCCCTGAGTAACAATTCTGTGTCCCTAAGTAACGTTTCTGTGGCCCTAAGTAACGGTTCTGTGGCCCTCAGTAACAAATCTGTGTCCCTCAGTAACAATTCTGTGTCCTCAGTAACAATTCTGTGTGTCCCTGAGTAACAATTCTGTGTCTGTCCCTGAGTAACAATTCTGTGTCCCTCAGTAACAATTCTGTGTCCCTCAGTAACAATTCTGTGTCCCTGAGTAACAATTCTGTGTCCCTCAGTAACAATTCTGTGTCCCTGAGTAACAATTCTGTGTCCCTGAGTAACAATTCTGTGTCCCTCAGTAACAATTCTGTGTCCCTCAGTAACAATTCTGTGTCCCTGAGTAACAATTCTGTGTCTGTTGCTGAGTAACAATTCTGTGTCCCTCAGTAAACAATTCTGTGTCCCTCAGTAACAATTCTGTGTCCCTCAGTAACAATTCTGTGTCTGTCCCTGAGTAACAATTCTGTGTCTGTCCCTGAGTAACAATTCTGTGTCCCTGAGTAACAATTCTGTGTCCCTCAGTAACAATTCTGTGTCCCTCAGTAACAATTCTGTGTCTGTCCCTGAGTAACAATTCTGTGTCTGTCACTGAGTAACAATTCTGTGTCCCTCAGTAACAATTCTGTGTCCCTCAGTAACAATTCTGTGTCTTTCCCTGAGTAACAATTCTGTGTCTGTCCCTGAGTAACAATTCTGTGTCCCTCAGTAACAATTCTGTGTCCCTCAGTAACAATTCTGTGTCCCTCAGTAACAATTCTGTGTCCCTCAGTAACAATTCTGTGTCCCTAAGTAACAATTCTGTGTCTGTCCCTGAGTCACAATTCTGTGTCCCTAAGTAACGTTTTCTGTGGCCCTAAGTAACAGTTCTGTGGCCCTCAGTAACAATTCTGTGTCTGTCCCTGAGTAACAATTCTGTGTCTCTAAGTAACAATTCTGTGTCTGTCCCTGAGTAACAATTCTGTGTCCTAAGTAACGTTTCTGTGGCCCTAAGTAACGGTTCTGTGGCCCTCAGTAACAAATCTGTGTCCCTCAGTAACAATTCTGTGTCTGTCCCTAAGTAAACAATTCTGTGGCCCTAAGTAACGATTCTGTGGCCCTAAGTAACAGTTCTGTGGCCCTCAGTAACAATTCTGTGTCCCTCAGTAACAATTCTGTGTCTGTCCCTAAGTAAAATTCTGTGGCCCTAAGTAACGTTTCTGTGGCCCTAAGTAACAGTTCTGTGGCCCTCAGTAACAATTCTGTGTCTCTCAGTAACAATTCTGTGTCTGTCCCTAAGTAACAATTCTGTGGCCCTAAGTAACAATTCTGTGTCCTCTCAGTAACAATTCTGTGTCCCTCAGTAACAATTCTGTGTCTGTCCCTGAGTAACAATTCTGTGTCCCTCAGTAACAATTCTGTATCCCTCAGTAACAATTCTGTGTCTGTCCCTGAGTAACAAATCTGTGTCCCTCAGTAACAATTCTGTGTCTGTCCCTAAGTAACGTTTCTGTGGCCCTAAGTAACGATTCTGTGGCCCTAAGTAACGATTCTGTGGCCCTAAGTAACGTTTCTGTAGCCCTAAGTAACGTTTCTGTGGCCCTAAGTAACGTTTCTGTGGCCCTAAGTAACGTTTCTGTGGCCCTAAGTAACAGTTCTGTGGCCCTCAGTAACAATTCTGTGTCCCTCAGTAACAATTCTGTGTCTGTCCCTGAGTAACAATTCTGTGTCCCTAAGTAACGTTTCTGTGGCCCTAAGTAACAGTTCTGTGGCCCTCAGTAACAATTCTGTGTCCCTCAGTAACAATTCTGTGTCTGTCCCTAAGTAACAATTCTGTGGCCCTAAGTAACGTTTCTGTGGCCCTAAGTAACAGTTCTGTGGCCCTCAGTAACAATTCTGTGTCTCTCAGTAACAATTCTGTGTCTGTCCCTAAGTAACGTTTCTGTGGCCCTAAGTAACGTTTCTGTGGCCCTAAGTAACGATTCTGTGGCCCTAAGTAACGTTTCTGTAGCCCTAAGTAACGTTTCTGTGGCCCTAAGTAACGTTTCTGTGGCCCTAAGTAACAGTTCTGTGGCCCTCAGTAACAATTCTGTGTCCCTCAGTAACAATTCTGTGTCTGTCCCTGAGTAACAATTCTGTGTCCCTAAGTAACGTTTCTGTGGCCCTAAGTAACAGTTCTGTGGCCCTCAGTAAAACAATTCTGTGTCCCTCAGTAACAATTCTGTGTCTGTCCCTAAGTAACAATTCTGTGGCCCTAAGTAACGTTTCTGTGGCCCTAAGTAACAGTTCTGTGGCCCTCAGTAACAATTCTGTGTCTCTCAGTAACAATTCTGTGTCTGTCCCTAAGTAACAATTCTGTGGCCCTAAGTAACGTTTCTGTGGCCCTAAGTAACGATTCTGTGGCCCTAAGTAACGTTTCTGTAGCCCTAAGTAACGTTTCTGTGGTCCTAAGTAACGTTTCTGTGGCCCTAAGTAACAGTTGTGTTGCCCTCAGTAACAATTCTGTGTCCCTCAGTAACAATTCTGTGTCTGTCCCTGAGTAACAATTCTGTGTCCCTAAGTAACGTTTCTGTGGCCCTAAGTAACGGTTCTGTGGCCCTCAGTAACAAATCTGTGTCCCTAAGTAACAATTCTGTGTCTGTCCCTAAGTAACAATTCTGTGGCCCTAAGTAACGTTTCTGTGGCCCTAAGTAACGTTTCTGTGGCCCTAAGTAACGATTCTGTGTCCCTCAGTAACAATTCTGTGTCCCTAAGTAACAATTCTGTGTCTGTCCCTGAGTCACAATTCTGTGTCCCTAAGTAACGTTTCTGTGGCCCTAAGTAACAGTTCTGTGGCCCTCAGTAACAATTCTGTGTCCCTCAGTAACAATTCTGTGTCTGTCCCTAAGTAACAATTCTGTGGCCCTAAGTAACGTTTCTGTGGCCCTAAGTAACGTTTCTGTGGCCCTAAGTAACGATTCTGTGGCCCTAAGTAACGTTTCTGTGTCTCTAAGTAACGTTTCTGTGTCCCTAAGTAAACTTTCTGTGGCCCTAAGTAACGTTTCTGTGTCCCTAACTAACGTTTCTATGTCCC